TGGAGCGCTCACTGTGTGGGTTACACATGCTTGTTCTGCAGTGCTAATGTGGCCAGCATGCGAAACCATGGCACCCACAGCGCTGCACAGAGGTCCACGCCTCCCACAGTCTGAGAAGTAACTCCCAGCTGAAGGAATTCTTCCTTGAAGGACTGGAGTACATTCCGCAGCACAAGGTCCTCCAAGATGAAGAGATGCCTGTGTCCCTAGACTGGGTACCAGGGACCATGTCACAGGTGTCTAACAGTTTGGGAGCTTTAACCAAAAGCAGAGCAAAGCAAAGCAAGTTCCTCTAAAGCTTAGGTTCATAAATTCCAAATCCCACACTGTGCGTGTAGCACAGGGCTTAGACGCTCGAGTCGTTCTGTTGTTTCTTTGGAGATGTTAGATGCTGCAGCCATTAGTGGTGCTGTCGCCTGGTCCACTTCAGGGGTGTTGGAAGTGCCTCCATCAGTCTTCCCTCCCTGAGCTCTGTCTGAGGTGGTAGATCCAGGAGAAGCTATGTGCACTGGAGAAAGGGCGACGTGCACATGGGATTCAGTAACCAGGACTCTTCAGGACACGAGGGATTCTCTCCTGAGGCTCTGCTTCCTTATAACAGCATACTTGAGAGGACTGGGATGTTTCCATCCCCCATCCAGTTTGACAGCTTTCTCATTCAGATACAATTTCCAGTGAAATAGTAGCTTGTAAGTATCCAGAAGTTAGTTTATTGACTCTTATTGCACTTCTGAGTACCTACTAAATAATTTATTAGTCTGATGGATATGTGGCTACCTAACTATGGGGCATGAAATATGCACTGTTTTTCCTAATACACTGTAGGGAGACCTGTTTATAAAGTATTTAGTATTGGTTTTATAATGCACTGTTGACAACAGGAGACCACGAAGCTCAAAGATCAATCTCATTTTGGCCCACAGTATTAATGCTGCTTTATAAAGCTCTGTGACAGGTCACTTAGAAGGTGGTCCTTACAGAAAGGGCTCTGTTAGGAAGACAGGCTGCAGCGACTGCCAGCACAGCAGATGAGTGTCTTCGCCAGTGTCCCTGAGGTGACTCTCTGGCAGCTGTGGCTGCTTTTGGCCAGGCCGTGGAACCCACTCTTCCCATGTTCTCTAAAGGGGTTCTGGAGTAACAGTGCCAAGTTCTGCGAAGGTGGCTCTTGCTAGCCGGGCAGAGTTAGTGTGACTTTGGATGGCAGTTGCAGTCCTGGGGGTGGGATCTGCAGTAAGGAGAGGAGGAGCTTGACTCCTCAGCTGTGTCTCTTGGTTAATGAAGGGATTCTCGTCCCAGTCTCCCGTTCCTTCCCTGAAATCTCCTATGTGACATAGGATAACATGTTTTGATTTTCCTTTGCATTGGCCAATTTTCCTTGGCCAGAAGAAAGTTTACAGACATTTAAAGAAACTCTGCATAGTAATCACTTAGAAGTGTGATGTCTAAATAAAAATTAAGGGGCCGGGGATTTAGCTCAGTGGCCCCCACCTGCCTTGCAGACACAAGGTCCTGAGTTGTATCCCCGATACCCCCCAAATTAAATAAAGTCATTTCACATTTTAAGTTTCTTAATAAGCACTACTTGCTATGAGAATGCTGTGTAATTTTTGCAGTGCACTGCTGCCTCTTAGAAAGGTTTGGAGGGAGGCATTTTTCTCTTTGCTTTCAGAACTCTGTAATTGTTCTAAGCTTTCCACTGAGAACTACCCTGTCTTGAACCATTCATCTTGGTTGTGACTTCCCGTGCTTTTTTGGGAATCATGGCTGAGTTATTTCTGCTACTTAGCATCTTTTTAAAAAATTCATTTCTCATTGATCCCGAGTGTCATCGAATCCTCTGTAGCTACACTGGACTGACTTCTCCCCCAGATAGTCCTTGGTCTGTTCCTGTCACATCTCTTAGCAGGCAGCCTTATCTTTATTTTTCTGAGATGATTGTTTCTTTAGTACAACAACCACTTATTGAGCGTTTATTCTGTCCTTTAGGTTACTAGAGATGGGTGAGCTGTCCCATTTAGCAAGTGTACAGTTTTGGTGGGGAAGAAGGGTTCTAAGTTGGGCTTTCACATGACTGCCCTTTGTATATGTATTTCTTAAACACAGAATTTGAAAATACTTTTTACGTTTGGTTTCTGACAGAAATGTATTTGTACCCTTCCAGAGCACCTTCTGATCCATGCTCTCTTTTCCCACCCTTTTATATCACATTCCCTCAGACTGGGTCTTCAGAAGTTTTTTCTCTCCTGCCTTCTCCCGCTGTATCTCTGTGAGACTTTTCTTCCTGTAGTGAAAAATTTTCAGCTCATTTACAAAACCTCTCCTAGGTCCTGCTAACCTTTTTAGCCACCTTCCTCATACTTCTGTTGCAGATTTCCCACGGTGTACTTTATCTTTTCTGCCTTTTTGTCTTTACAGATTGCTAACATCATAACTCCTTGGAATATGGATTCAATCAGTCGCATATAAGCTAGCTCCTGTCTCACAAAACACATGTGCAATATTTCACTCACAAATATACCCATTTACCCAAACTGAAGAACTAGTACCACAAACGTCTGAAATGCTGCAGGTTATTACCGAGCGTGTGTGGCACCCGTCACTGCCCAGCCTCCCTGCCTAGCCCTTCTCCCCATTCCCCAAGCAGTCTTCTGAATTTGCTGTCAGTCTTGTGCGTTTTGTTTTGTTTGTACTGTGTTTACCTCTATTCGTCACTGTGCGTCGTTTTATTGTGCCTCACATAGAGCACTGTTTATTAGAACCTGTGGAGCTCCCGTGAAGTTTTCCTTTCCTCACCATTCAGAACATCATTCGATACCCTGCTTGTTGTTCCTTCCTAAGACTTGAGCTCTGGCTGCATCCTCTACCGCTCGGGTCACGCCCGTGTAGACAGCCTCTGCGTCGGGTGACTCCGGGTGTCGGTCTGTGTAGTGAACATTTCTAGTTGATTAGCCAACTGTGTGGTCTGCTGTTGCCCCAAAGTGAGCTTGGTATACATACCCACAGACTAGTTTGTCCCCATTTGTGTTGTGAGTGCTACCATTTCCTTTGCTTAGAATATCAGAGCTTTGGTGAATTCACCAACTTTTTTCATTTTTATCCACAATGTATGAGTCACTCTCAGCCCCTTGATGTTATCTTGACAATATGTTTTGTAACTTGCTCTTTTCTCCCATTCCTATAGCTAGCAGTCATTTATTTACCTAGCTTATTATAATGGCCTCCCAATTGATCTCTTCACATCTTTCTTCCAACATTCCAGTCTGTGTGTCCTGCTGTTGCCAGATAAACCTACTTATAGTAATGGTCATGCCATGTTGCTGTGAATGTTTCAGGCCTTTTGAGCGTTGGTGGATTACAGAATAAATGGCAACTCTACATGGAGTATAGAAACCTTTGTGTTATAATAGTTCCTAGTGACCATCCGTATTCATTATTGCCACGCATCCTGCCTTATGTTCTGGTCAAACTGAATCACTGCTCTAGGAATGTTACCAGTTCTTTAGTGCCTAGAGCAAAATCTGCTTAAGCTTTCTTTTACCACCCTTGCTGCAAGGAATCTTTTTCTCATTCAAACCGGATCTCATGACTGTGCTCTTACCACATTATATTTTTATAGAAGGTCACTTTTTGCATGGCTTATCCTCTGTACTAGATAATAAAATTTATGTCAGTGAGGACTGCATCTTAACTTTTGTGGTCCCGCAGTTTTTTGTACCTGACAAGTAAAGCCTTGATCTGTATTCTCTGACCGTGCCTCACAGTCTTTAAGATGACTACGTAGTAACTGGGGTGAATAAGAAATTGTACTGAGGTGGGCTGTGGTCTGTAGGAGACTCTGGGCTCACCCTCACCAGCAAGAACTGAATTGCGTGGGATTGTTTTTGTTTTGTTTTGGAGACAGGGTTTCACAATGTAGTTGAGACCTGGAACTCACCATGTAGCCCAGGCTGGTCTCAAACTCACAGCGATCCTCCTGCCTCAGCCTCCCGAGTGCTGGGATTACAGGCGTGCGCCAGCACACCTGTGTCTATTCCTAGTGACCATCCGTATTCATTATTGCCACGCATCCTGCCTTATGTTCTGGTCAAACTGAATCACTGCTCTAGGAATGTTACCAGTTCTTTAGTGCCTAGAGCAAAATCTGCTTAAGCTTTCTTTTACCACCCTTGCTGCAAGGAATCTTTTTCTCATTCAAACCGGATCTCATGACTGTGCTCTTACCACATTATATTTTTATAGAAGGTCACTTTTTGCATGGCTTATCCTCTGTACTAGATAATAAAATTTATGTCAGTGAGGACTGCATCTTAACTTTTGTGGTCCCGCAGTTTTTTGTACCTGACAAGTAAAGCCTTGATCTGTATTCTCTGACCGTGCCTCACAGTCTTTAAGATGACTACGTAGTAACTGGGGTGAATAAGAAATTGTACTGAGGTGGGCTGTGGTCTGTAGGAGACTCTGGGCTCACCCTCACCAGCAAGAACTGAATTGCGTGGGATTGTTTTTGTTTTGTTTTGGAGACAGGGTTTCACAATGTAGTTGAGACCTGGAACTCACCATGTAGCCCAGGCTGGTCTCAAACTCACAGCGATCCTCCTGCCTCAGCCTCCCGAGTGCTGGGATTACAGGCGTGCGCCAGCACAACTGGCTTGCGTGAGATTGTTGTGGGGCTCATTTGTAGGGCGCTGCCCATCATGCATGAGGCCTTGGGTTTGATCCTCAGCTCTGTGGGGAGAAGAGGCGAGGAGATAGGGCGGAGGGAGTAAGGACAAAATTGTATCTGTTGCCATTCATCGAATTACTCAGTTATCCCTTCTTGTTACCTTTATTCTGTCCACTTAATTAGTGACCATTAACTCTTAAAGCATTTGGGCTGGTCAGAGGAGTATGTTATATTTGCATGTTTTAAAATGTTTTTCAGTTGTCTTTGCATATTCAGTGCTTTTAAGTAATACTATTTTGCAGATCGTATATAATTTCCTCTCCTGATCTCTCCACAGGCACGATTTGTGCCCGCTTCACCTCCAGATTGCCTTAATTTCACATCAGAAGGCAGACTTAGTGAACAGGACTGGCAAGCACACTTCAAGGCGCCCTGTGGGGTCGATACATCTCAGCTTGAGGTATGCTGTTCTTCTCCATTTATGTGTATCTAATTGTTTTTTGTTTTTTGGGACCTGGAATTGAACTTGTACTGGTGAGGCAGGCTGTGGAACCACTGAGCTAAATCCCTGGCCTGTTCTTTTCCATTTAAAACCCTTGGATATGCTCATATGCTTTACTGCCTAGTTGTAGGCAGTAAACTCACCTAGTTATTTTTTCCCCACGCTTTTACCATCATTGACAGTCACCCTCATGCTATGAAACTCCCATATTTACTTGCTAAATCCATGGCACTTCCTGATACTTCTTGTCGTTGATGAAATTGTTGCAAGCAGTAGATTTAGTGGTAGTTATTTGAATGATTTTGACGGTGATACACTGTTTGCCTTCTGTCTTTTCCTTTATTTTTCTTTTCCGTTATGTTTTTCCCCCACATAGTTGTAAGACCTGGTTATTGTTACCAGTATTTTTAGTGGTCAAACCATTAATAGTAGCAGACTTTTAGCATCGAAGTATAACATACTTACGGAGAAGTGCACACACTGTAAATGTATAGACCTGAGGTATTTTTACAAAGTGAACATACCCAGGATCAACAGCTTGAAGAAAATGAGCAGCTTTGCTGTGCTCAGAAGCCTCCAGCCTCTTTCCTCTACCAGACAGCCACCATCCTGACCTCCTAAGCCACCTCCTAATTTTTCCTAATTTTAGCTTGCTGTTCCGGGAGTTGCTGGCATCTCTTGGATTCCTTAATTTTGAAAACAATCTCCAAGTTCATTCAAATTTCCTTTGTTTCAAACTTTTTCCATTTAAATACATATGTATTTATTTAAACAAGGTGTCATAATGATTTTCAAATTTCAAAGTGTACTCGCATTTCATTTTTTAAATTTATCTTTTAAGTTTGTATGTAAGTATATAATGGAGCATTATCTGTGGGCTTCCTATTGTCTGATAACTGTAAAGGCAGTGTTGTATTTTTAAATAATTTGGTAAGGTGTTAAGCCCTACTCTGCAACCTGATTTCCTTGGGTGTCGGTGAATCTGTCTCCCTTCCTGACAGTAATTGAAACTATTGTTACGACATTTTTGTGGAGCTGCAGGCTTCTCAGTCCACAGGCTCTAGAAGGAAGTGAATAAAATAATATTATCTTTTCAGTGCTGCAACTAAGTAATTCCCACTGCATCCCATCTCCCAACAACAGACCCCCCACTTCCTTTAAAGAAAGACATCACTTATTTTTGTCCTGAAGATTTTCTCATAAACTATCGAATGTGGATTATGGTAGAAAGAAGCCACTGTTGGTGCTGCTATTTAGAAAAGGTTAAAGTCACTTTTTGGTTTTTAGACCTAAACAAGATATGTAAAATGTTTTATCTGTTGTGGGCAAAAGACTCGTGCTGACTACAGATGCTTTGTATCTGGGAGTCTTTTATTTCAAGGATTCACCATTCACCTGACATTTTGTAAACTGCCTCATCTACCACACCCTCTTCAGAACTTTCCATTGTCTTATTTTTATAGTATATTAAAGCTTTGTGGCATTTAGATATTTTCTTGACACAATGCTGTGAAACTGAGCCTGCTCCACAGATTGCTTTTGCTGGCACAGAGATGAGTATCAGGAGGGGCAGCTTCTTCTTTTGCTGTAAGAAGGGTTGTGAAGCTTTGAGTCATATTTACTTGTGGAAATGTCCATGCCACTGTTTCAAGTTAATTAAAGCTGAGTTCCATTCAAGCTTTATGTTAAGAGGGCTGTGTTCCCCTGTTGGCTGTGAAATGATGTGTTCCCTTGGTGTAGGTGACTTGGGAGGGAGCAGTTGCCATTACTTTTGGTCACTCACACTGATGTGCCGTTCCCATGAATAAACACTGGAGCAGAAACCGACTGAAAACTGAAGGCAGGCCTGCGTGTCTTACTTACCACTTGGACCATGGCCTTGTACCCTGAAATTTTCAGGCTTTTCTGGCTGAGGCTTCTATATGTTGAAACGCCCAGTCCAAGCGGCCATAGCCATTTGGCAAAGTTGTAGTCATGAGTACAATTCTCACACAGACCCATGCAGGAGCAGCAGGCCAGGGAGTAAGACTGACAGAGGTAACGCAATTTTTGCCTCTCTCGTTGAAGTTCATAAAGTCCTTCTTAAGTGCAGAGTGAATTAGTCAACCCGTGAACTGTTGGCCAAAACTTACGTCCTAAGTTTTCAAAAGAGCAAGTCTTCAAAGAGGAAGATTTAAAGCTGAATATAGTTATGTAGTTCTTGCATCTATAGTCATAGGTAGCAGTCTTGCTTTGTTCAGGTTTGGCGCAATCCTCTCATAAATTGAAACATGAAGGAGAATTGTTAAATAGGTAAAGTTTTTTAGTTTCCTTAAAATTTAAATACAGGGATACAACTAGTACTCCATAAGTTTTCACAATCATCAGATGTCACTGCTCAGGAATTCTTGGCTATTAAAAGATGGGTGTTTTATCCCTTATGTGGACATTAATGGAAAGGAATCAGGAGACTGTTGGAGAACAGGGATTTAGGTATAAATGTTAGGTGAATTTTAGTTGTGAAGATGGGTACTTTTATGAGTAAAGATGACAGTTCACGTAAGAATTGTATTTTAAGAGCTGCTCTTTGATCTCCCCACTTTGTTTTCCCCAAAGCATGCAGGTATAGTAGAGTAATATTCTCTGCCCCTCTTTAAAGGTTGATAAACGTTTTACTGTCCTCTCATCGTATTACATGTGTGAGTCAAGGAGAAGCAGTTTAGATTATGATATAATTATTCACAAAGGGAACACCTGAATTTGAATTATTGTTAATTTTACTTTTCTCCATTCTTTATAGTGAGTCAAAAAATTCCCCTTAACTTTACATAGAAAGTGAAACTTTATACAATAAAATAGGAATGGCAGGTTTCACAAGGGGAGAAAGCTGCTGTCAACTTTCTCCTTAAGAATATGGAAATTTGGGCAGATTATCTATTCAGTAGTGGTTTCCTTTATTAATTCTTTCTTCTTTTTTTCACTTAAGACATCTGTTAACATTTCACATAGTCCAGCAGATGTTGCAAAGCAAGTCCTGTACTTTGTTCTCAGGAAAAATGACATTTCCTCCGTTGGTTGCCCCACCTCTGTGACTGTGTCCAGCCTGCTACTGTTGTATAATTTGCATAGATTTAGTTATACACCTTAATGTATTATCAATTTGAGCTTCAATATTATTTTATATGGTAAAATCTGATTTGATTAGAAATTAGCTTACATGTTGCTCTACAGTTGAGAGGAGAAAATATTATTAAAATTTCTCTTGAGAATTGCAGCCTGAGTCTCCATATAAGATTGGGTAGTCTGTTAACATTTTTTTCTGTAAAATAAGTGAATTACAAAGACTTGAGTTGTTTCACCATGAGGAAGTGCTGATTGTCATGCGATGTGGAGCGTCATTTTTATTATTTTGGCAAGAACAGGGACAGTTTTGTCTTGACAAGCCATTAGATGAATACCAGCATGTGTCACATGAAAAACCACTGATCTTTAACCCAGTTCTGTACTTAACCGAGCCTTGGAAATGAATAGTGAGTAAAAGAAGAGCAAAGGCCAGTTTACTGTCATTACAGATTGCAGAATCTGTTAACAGCGGCTGAACTGAACCTGGGGACTACAGGTGTGGTTCTGTACCAGCAGAAGTACTACAGATGCCTCTAAAATTGTGTACCGAAACTGTACGTTTATTATATATTTGCTCAGGATGTATATTGTTGTAAACAAAGCTAGAAAAAATTAAAACCCTTGAGTACTTTCTCAGGACAGTTCATGTATGACTTTATCACAAAACTATGTATTTACATAGAACTTTGTCAGTGAAATTTTTCCTGCTTCTAGTTCCAATGAATTTTTGAAAAAAATCAGAAAAGAAAATATATTCAGTAGTTCCCTCTTTAAACAATAACAACAACAACAACAAAATCTATTCCACAATCATGTATCCAAAACCCTCTCACATCCTTCTTCATGTACGAATTGTCTGATTTTGTACATCAATATATGATTTTTCTTTTAGCAAGTGGAAGACCCTAGGCCTACCTAAGTACCCAACATTGAAAAGATCAGCTACATTTTAAACAGTCAGTTGTGGGAATTACTGCTTACAGAGCCAGCCAGAAAGAGCACACTTCTTACTCTGCTGGTGGAACTGCACCGAGCCTCCCAGTAGTCTTGTTAGCCCACCCTAACCGAAATGCAAATTCTTTGTAACTAATTGGATCTCATTGAGGGTACACGCACAGTGTGTAGTTACATGCAAAAAGCTTTTTAAGAAGTAAAAATTTCCTGTAATTATAACTTTTAATCACTACCTGGAATATTAGTGTCTGTCGTACACATTTAGAATGTATATGCGTCTGACTTTCTAAGCATAGTGCTCAAAAGCATGGCTTACCAAATGCTCCATGTAGTACCTGCTCAAAAGTTACAGGACAGATTTTAATTGCAGCAGTCTATAAGTTGGATTTTATTAAAGTCCTATGAAAAAATTTTTTTAAATTTAGGATCCTAGAATCAGTATATGGTACTGAAGGCTTGTTAATAGTACAGTTCTTTCCTTGAAAGATTTAAAATATTAAAACATCAAGTCACTTCCAAAAGCTATTGCATATTTTTCTCTTCAGTTCTCCAATCCACTGTACCATTGTAAAACACATTTGCCTTCTTTACTTGATATAAGGCTGTTTTCACTGTGTGCTCTGATAGGTGGAGAGATGCTCACATAACCTGTTTAACAACTTGGGTACTGTTAGCCGTAGTTTGTGTAGTTCTTAATGTACATGGTCCATCTCTCACAATCGGTAAACGTAAGAATGCCAACACACAACCTGTACCTGTGAGTATTCAACCCAAATACA